AGCACAGGCAACAAAAATAGAAATAGACAAAGACTAATTAAACTACAAAGCTTCTGCATAGCAAAAGAAATAAACAACAGAGTGAACAGACAACCTGCAGAATAGGAGAAATGTTTGCAAATTATATATCCAACATGATACTAATATCCAGAAATTACAAGGGCTCAGTTCAACAACAACAACAAAAAAACCCACAAATAACCTCATTAGAAAGTAGACTAAGGACATGAACAGACAGACATTTTTTAAAAGACAAATAAATGGCTGACAAAAAAAATTTCAACATCACAATCACCAGAGAAATGCAAATTAAAATTACACCAATCAGAATGGGTATTATCAAAAAGATAAAAGACAACAGATGTTGGTGAAGATGCAAAAAAAGGGAACTCTTATACACTGTTGGTGGAAATGTAAATTAGTACAAGCGCCATGAAAAATGGTATGGAGATTTCTCAAAGAACTGAAAATAAAATTACTGTTAGATCTTGCAATTTCATTATTGGGTATCTACTCAAAGGAAAAGTAATCAATACATAAAAAAGATATCTGCTTTCATATTTTTATCACAGCACTATCTATATACAATAATAAAGCTATGAAATCAACCTAAGTGTCCATCAGCAAAGGACTGGAAAAGGGCAATGTGGTGTATACACACAATGGAATACTATTCTGCTGTAAAAAAAGAATTAAATCATTATCTTTTGCAGCAACACAGATGGAACTGGAGGCCATTACCTTAAGTGAAACAAATCAGATGCAGAAAGACAAATACCACGTGTTCTCTCTCTCTCTTTTTTTTTTGCTGGGTTTGAACCCACCACCTCCGGCATATGGGACCAGTGCCCTATCCTTTTGAGCCACAGGTGCCGCCTATACCACGTGTTCTCATTTATAAATGGGAGCCAAATAATATGTACACATGGAAGTAAAGTGTGGAACAATAAACTGTGGAGAATCAGAGTGGTACAGAGTATATGGGGGGGTGGATGACGGGAGGGTGCTTGGTGGGTACAAGGCGTGTTGCTCCAGACATGGACACAGGTAAGGCCCTATCTTCACCACAATGCAATATGCTATCAATGTAGCAAAACTGCACAGACTATACACAGTGGATCCCACCTGTAATCCCAGCACTTTAGGGGGCTGAGGCAATAGAATCACTAGAGGCCAGAAGTTTGAGACCAGTGTAGATAACATGGGGAGACCTTGGCTCCAGAAAAAATTTAAAAAATTAGCTGGGCATGATGGCATATGCCTATAGTCCCAGCAACTTAGAAGGCTGAAGTGGGAAAACTTCTTGAGTCCAGGAGTTTGAGGCTACAGCAAGCTGTGATTACACCAACACTGCACTCCAGCCTATATGCCTCTGGCCAAAAACGCCATTTGAGAGAGAGCAGTGAAAAGACTTTGTGCAGGCATACTTGTAAGAAGCTGAGGCAGAATCCCACGTGGCCAGGTTGGTTGTGAGCCTAACTTGACCAAGGCTCTGGCTGGAATGGTATTTCCAGAGATGTCCAGACTGTGTTAAGGAATTAAGGTTGACTTTATAAGACCAATGAAAAAGCCCTTTAGAAAACTGGCCAGATACCCATCAGTAACCTTTCCTGATCTGTGGTAAGTGATGAAGGTCGCTTGCTGACAGGTCTGGGAATGGAGTAACCTTTCTTGATCTGTGGTGTGTGACGAAGGTTGCTTACTGACAGGTCCGGGAATGGAAATGTGCTTGGGGACCTCAAGAGAAGAGGAATTTACCCAATGCATACAGGTATCTAATGGCACAGATAAAACTTGGGCTCATGAAAGGCTTTTGAGAAGTCCAGCCTGAGAATTCCTTATAAAAGGCTCCAGCAAAACCCCCCTGACTTAAGGCCTACATGGGAGCAGAGGTTTGCACACAAATTCCTGTATGCCCAAGAAGTTTCTTTATGCCTTGTTTAAAGATCTAAAGTAATAGCCTCCAAATGGCAAGGCCATCAAGGGCAGGTATTCAATCTACCTTGTTCCTCCGTCGCCTCAGGCATCATCAGATAAGAACAAAGAAGTAATGACTGACAACACGTTCTCCATTGTTCTCCATTAAGTTATGTTAAATTGGATTATGTTGAAGGGTTCTGTCAAAAGGTGTATGTTGAGTGGATTATCGGAAGCTAATCATGAGGTAGTCACATGATGTTTAAATGGATCAATGAGGTCACTGCTGTATTGTGCATATGTACAAAATTCCCTACATAAACCAACTGCAAATAAAGAAGCTCTCCATTTTGCCTGAGTGAGCAGATGGTCACCTATATTTAAAACACAATTTCAAATAAGCTTGATTATTCTCCGCTTTTCCGTGAGACCCTTACAGCAACAAGCCTATGCAAGAGAGCAAGACCCTATCAGTCTTTCTTAAAAAAACATAAATTAAAAACGGGATAAACTCTAGCAAAGCCATAAAGGGATGAAAGTAAGCTGGAGAGAGAAGTCCAAGCCACTGACACACACCAAGTATGTTATCAAACTCAGCTCTGAAGTCCTCACCACTTCCTTCATTCTGTGTAGAACCTTGTAGCAAGTAAGGAGGTGTTGCACCTGCACTGCCACCAGCCACATGTGGCTACAGGACACCTAAAATGTGGCCTGTGCCAAGTCAGAAAATAAATTTAAATTTTTTTTTTAGTTTTAATGCATTTAAACTTACCTAGCCATATGCAAAACAGTGGCACATTCTATTAGACAATATAGATAGAAGATAAATATATGAAGTTGGACAATTAAGTTCATGAACTCATCTTAGAAAAAGTGCTACATATCTCATTGCTGAATATTACTATTATACCCTTTGAAGTTCTCCCCTGGGTCAACTGGTGACTGTAGTGATATTCAGCAATGAGGTACGTAAGCACTTTTTCTAGGGTAAGTTCATGAACTTAATTATTAGACCTCACATGCCAATAGCTTAGGGGAAAAAGTAACAGATTGCCAATTATCAGGTAGTTAGGATATGTGACATTGGTATGTGGCTGCTCCAGAAAGAAGACTAGGATCTGGCCCTGCATCATGATTATAATCACAACTTGTCTTCATGGACAGGTTAGGTGTTGGAATACTATATAAGAAAGATGGGCTAAATCTGTTTTAGAACCTAATTTTAAAATGAGCTCCAGTTACCTGTTAGTTTACAGAACACTAGATAAATGAATTATTGTTTATCTTGGTTTTCCCAAAAATATGCCAATTGTTTTTTTTTTTTTTTTTTTTTTACAAGAGAGGGCAACCCCATAACCATAAGGTGCTAAGTCACTACACCTCAGGCTGCCTAGGAAGAGATACGTATCTGTAATCAATGTGCTTTCCTGGGGTGAGTCTATCTCAACAACTGTCTTGCCTATAGGGACAGAATTTAATAATTTGCCACCAAGAGGATTCCAGATGTTGTTTTTTTTAATCCAGTATCTATGTTCAACCTCTTCTACTGTTTTGCCACATCTGCAAAGAAACAGCAAAGTTTACACTTACTCTTTATTTCCCCTTTCTATCTAGAACAGGGGTTCTCAAGCTGTGGGTCGTGACCCACAGGAACTGTATTAAAGGGCTGCAGCATTAGGAAGGTTGAGAACCACTGATCTGTAAAGTTGTTAAGTAACAAATGAAATCATTTAAACTTTATGCCTGAGGAACTAAAGTAAAACAACTCTGGTGGAACCAAGTGACAATGTCCTTTGAGTTGACATGAGACTGATGAGATCCCACAAGGAAGGATGTGGGTCATTCCTGAGAGCAGTTCTTCCCTGATAACCTGAGACACCAGGGAGAAGCTCATAGGTAGGACAGGATGTAACTTCTATTCATAGATTTCAAACCAAAAGAGCTAAATCATTTGTGTGTGTGTGTTTTTAAGAGACAGAGTTTTACTGGCACCCTCAGTAGAGTGCTGTGGCATTACAGCTCACAGCAACCTCCAGGTCTTGGGCTTAGGCGATTCTCTTGCCTCAGCCTCCAAGTAGCTGAGAGAACCGCCACAACACCCGGCTATTATTTTGTTGCAGTTTGGCCAGGCAGAGTTTGAACCCACCACCCTCGGTATATGGGGCTGGCGCCCTACTCACTGAGCCACAGGCACTGCCCAGAGCTAAATCATTTTAAAACAAAAGAAAATAAACATCAGTTCTAAGAAAAATGCACTAACAAGTCTTTTCAGGAGGATGGCAAGTTAAATGAGATATTTACTTGTAGGCCTTTGTTCCACATTGGAAGAGCATCTACTCTTTACTTCGTAATTCTGAGAAAGTTTTAGACCATAAATTTGAATTTTACAAATTAATGTTGATAGGCAAAGACTTTCACTTAGATAAGACTTTTTTTTTTTTTTTGAGATGGAGCCTCAAGCTATCCCCCTGGGTAGAGTGC